CCATGTAAAAACGAAACCCAAGTGGTGAATACAGACAACAGCTGTGAGCCTTTTCAGTTGGAGAGTTTTATTTGGAGGCAGTATTCATCCACGCAGATGGTTGAGATGGGCTATGAAAATGCATTAATGTACTTACTGCACGAACTTATAGTATTAGAAAATGCTCATTATTTGTCTGGAAGAAGAAGAAACAACCTGGATGGAATGCAAAGCCTTAAACTGTTATGGCCGATAATGAACTATACAGATCAACTCTAGAAAATGTTGATAGTAATTGTCTGTGGAGAGATAAAGATCTCTCTCTGCTAACCCATTTGGTAGATAAGCTCCAGCAGAAATGAGGTTGGGAACCTCTAGCAATAACAGCTCAGTTTTTACTCAATGGGAAAAATACTAATTGTTCCTCAAGTCTGAATCCTAGGTCATTATAATTTTATGAAGAAATATTCATGAAATTAAAATAAGTTCTTCACAGAGAATTCAAGATGCACTGTTTCTATAGGTAGGGAAAGAAATGCTCTGCAAACATTAACAATAATTTAATGTAGGATTAAAACATCTTTTAGTGACTACTCCGGTGAAATTCTCATCCTTTCTGTATCTACTTTAGAGCACATAGAAATGCCACAGATGTTACAGAGCCCTCAAGGCTTTTCTTCCAGCTTTAAGAAGATTCCCTTACAAAAGCCTTTGTAGAAGACAACTGTAAACTCTGTGGGAAAACAACCCACAGCCCTGCAAAGATTTCCAATAGCACTGGGTGGCCGTTGTAGGCTACAAAGCCCAAGGCTAGTAGTTACACCATGCTCTTTCCAGCTCTTTGAGCAGCCTCAGACCAAGAAGACAGAAATATAAATGAAATCTGCTTTATTGCCCTGCTGCTCTTAGGTTGCAGTTCCTAGCCTACACCTGTTAGAAAATTGCCAGAAGTCCCTGAAATATGTAATGTGCAGTACTTTTCATTAATTCTGTTTCATACTATTTTGCCTGCTCTATTAGATAGAACAAATTGCTGATTTAAGCTATGAATATTACTGTAACCGGTTTTCTGGGTTTTTTTGTTATTTGGATTGTAATTATTACATCACCAGTTATAGATATATACTGCTTCACAGTAATTAATTTCATATGTGATTGTAATACAAACAGAAGAGAACTGAATGTAGCTACACGCTGTATTCAGAACTGACTGTGTCTTCTCAGCAGAGGGGATTTGTTCAAGTTCTTTCTGTTTCAAATGTGTGTGATTTCAAGGTTTATTCATGATGGTTATTCATGCAAACATGCCTAATTGTTATGGAGAGTGTCTTTAATTCCACATTCCTAATCCAGAAAACTGGGAGCAGGAAGGATTTATAAGCAACGTTGACTCAGTGGGAATGATACCTTCTAACTCAAGAAAGCTGTTGCTTTGATATGTTCTGAGTCACAGCTGCTCACTTGAGTGGTGAAAATCCATTTTTCACTGCTTTTTGCTCCTGTTAGACCTGCTGAGCCAACTTAAGTAAATGAGAGCGAGGAGACACCTCTGTCCCATTTTGCACATTGTCAACAGAATTGTTTCCCGTGGTAAGTTCCCACTGAAAACAACGGGGGACCTGGAGGTATCACAGAGGCATAAGCTGAAGTTTGCGGGATTGCTCTGGTGTTGTACTGAAGACCTGAGGCAGCCAGCAGAACACTTATTGATGCGGTTGTGTCTCAGAGGCCTGATTTAGGGACAGAGGCATATAGAAAGTGATTTTCCTCTTCGCAAACGGAGCACGTGCTCTGGAGTCACTGAATAATATGGTGATACCCTAGGACATTATATGTAGTTACTTGTCATAATACTTTTTTCTACCTTTTCAAGACCACAGTTTCTTCCTTTTTAAAAATAGAAATATCTGTGATTTGCTCTACTTTTTAGTTTGTATTATGTTGTGAAGCTTACTTTTAAAGGTTTACATCGTAATTCATACAAGATGTTTTAGCTAGATAAGTAAATTGATGGTGATAAACATCAATAGCACATAACAGAGTTAGGAATGATGAATATTAGTAGCAAGATTCATACACGGTTTTGCTTATGTACCTAGTATTTATGCCAGATTGAATCTTCCTTAGAATAGGTAATTACGCTACATTTATAAGGTAAGCAACATTTTAAATAGTCTATTGTTTAAATTGTTAGCTGTAGGCTAGGCTGAAAGGCAACTCCATTCAACTAATTGCTGCTATGACTCAGACCTTGTAACAGATATGCAATTAGATTTGGTTTTCTTTCAAACCCCAGCTCTGATTTTCTTTATGAGAGAGTGTAAAGAAGGGGAAAGAATGCTTTTTGTCTAAAGGGTACCATCCAGAGTATAGGAAGCCTAAGAGAAGGAAAACTTTTACATGTCATACTGCTGTTTTAAGTGAGAAGTTTACACGTGCATTGAAATGCCTGTATTAAAGAATTTAGGACTACTCAGCAGTAAGACATAGAGTTATCTGTATTTCTTAAAGCTGATACAATCTGTAGCTTACTATCTTAACTCTGCTGGTTTTTTTCACTATATTTCTCCCAGAATTGTTCTAAATTTTAACATTTTATTTAAAAAAAAACAACAGAACAAAAACCAATCAATTAAGATTTTGCTTCCCCTGCCCCAGACTTCTTAAAAATCTTACTATTCAGCCCCAAATGGTGCTCAGAGCACCCCAATCAGCTTTATTCTTTTTCTCCCCCCCCCCCCTTTACAATTTAAGGCATACTAACTTTTGATTCTGCAAATTCAACTTCAATTCTGAAATTGAGTTTGAACTGTCAATCCCTTCTGCATTACCAATGAAAGAGATTTGATGAGTTGGAACTTAACTTTTCAGTCCTTTGAGGACAAAAAGCAGCTCACTGTGCCAGCCTGGGTGGGTTCAGCAATGCTAGCAATGGCAACATTTTTTACCCAGCAGCTTGGTCTGACTGCCAGGACCAAATATATTGAAGAAAAATATTATTTTCATCACATTATGAGCTCATTTTACCCTTGCTAGACTTTCTGTACAAGCACAGAACTGCAAATTGAATTTCTGATTCTGTTTGAAAACCTGGTAAGATGTTTTCAGCACATAATTCAGGATGGGTTTAGAGTTTATTGGATTCTTCTGACCAACTTCAAGTAAATCAAGAAGCCTAAGTTAGGACCATAGCTGCCGTAACGTCCCTTTGGAAGAAGACACTCAGCTCTAGAGGACAGTTTACATTAGAGCAGAGACTGGATAACAGCAGGGTTTTTTTAACTTGGACTTCTCAATTAAGTCTCTAAAGGTAGGTTGAATTAATGAGGCTCCTTATCAAATCTCAGGGTAAACAAAGTGTTTCCCTCTCTGAACCAAGATATATCACGGGTATATCTGCCTCTCAGTAAGAGGAGTTTGTGAACTCCCACAGTTAAGGTGTTTGAACTGGATTCAGGCATCACACTTCAGTGAAATGGTGTACCTGTGCCTGCAGCTGCTGTTTACTTCTTTTTTATTTGTTTGTTTATGTTCTTGAGGAAAGATGGAGCATCAGTCTACACTATGTACCATGTGGCCAAAAGGAAGCTCATAAATAGTGGCTGAATAAGAATCTTGTAAAACGATATCTCTGGGCAAGAGGAGTTACAGGATATATAACTTTTTTTCTTCTGCCTGTGATGTTTTGCTGATACTAAGGATGAAATCTGAAATGTACATTGCTTACTAGGACAAGCTGATGAAAAAATCCAGGTTCATTTTGTACAAATGATTCTCTGTGTCATTTGCAAGAAATAGATGGTTATCCCCGTGTCTTTTCATTTTGCAAGTGATTTAATGCATTACATCCTTCAAAAACAGGAGATGGTACCTTTCTACAGAGTAACTTCTGTAAAGGTAACTAATGCTTTTTCAGGCACTTTGTCCTCCTTAACGAGATTGTGAAATGGAATAACTGGCAATTGATTTCCCGACTAAGGGTTAGTCTTTTTCCCCATTTGTGCTGTGGCTAGATGTGAGATTTTAACATTCTAAATAGACTTGGTTCCTGTTCTACTACAATTGTTACTATCATTGTCAATATTCTAATGACTATTTTATTAATATTGCTGTAATATTATGCTTTAGTACTTTTAAATATTCAACTTTCTGGAAAGAAAAACCGAACATGCTCTCTAATCACCTTGACCTTTCAGCTAAGGTCATTCTAGCTTGAATGAGAATCCACGCTTTAGGTATCTTAAGTAATGTAGCTCCTAGTTGCTTTTCATTAATATGGCCATTATAAGATTTTAAGATTCTTCCTGGAATCTGCATATATTAGGATATGTGTGAATACAAATAACGTACTTTGGCAACTTTGATTTGGCTTCAGAACCAGTTTCACAGTAATTCACTGAAATACAAACCTAAGAACAGGTGCACATGAATGATAATCAACAGAGGAAGACTTAACTGAACCAGCTCTTGTGGTGGGTTTGACCTTGGCTGGATGCCAGGCACCCACCAAGCCGCTCTATCACTCCCTTCCTGAGGAGGACAAGGCGAGAGAAAATATATAACGAAAGGCTCGTGTGTCGAGATAAGGACAGGGAGAGATCACTCACCAATTACCATCATGGGCAAAACAGACTTCACTTGAGGAAATTAATTTAATTTATTACCAATCAAATCAGCGTAGGATAATGAGAAATAAAACCAAATATTAAAACAACTTCCCCCCACCCCTCCCTTCTTCTGGGGCTCAATTTGACTCCTGGTTTTCTCTCCCTCCTCCCCCCTCCAGCAGCGCAGGGGGACGGGGAATGGGGGTTGGGGTCAGTTCATCACACGTTGTCTCTGCCGCTCCTTCCTCCTCAGGGGGAGGACTCCTCACTCTTCCCCTGCTCCAGTGTGGGGTCCCTCCCACAGGAGACAATCCTTCACAAACTTCTCCAGCGTGGGTCCCTTCCCTGGGCTGCAGTCCTTCAGGCACAGACTGCTCCAGCGTGGGTCCCCCGTGGGGTTACAAGTCCTGCCAGCAAACCTGCTCCAGCCTGGAGCATCTCCTCCCCTCCTTCTGCACTGACCTGGGGGGCTGCAAGGCTCTTGCTCTCACACATCCTCACTCCCCTTTTCTGGCTGCTGTTGCACAGCAGGTTTTTTCCCCATCTTAACTCTGTTCTCCCAGAGGTGCTCTCACCGTTGCTGATGGGCTTGGTCTTGGCCAGCGGTGGGTCCATCTTGGAGCGGGCTGGAACAGACTCTATCATGGGGGACATAGGGGAAGCTTCTAGCAGCTTCTCACAGAAGCCACCTCTGTAGCCCCCTCTGCTGCCAAAACCTTGCCATGCAAACGCAATACAGCTCTTCAGCAGAAAAAGGTGGAAGACATTTGGACTCCATCGTGGCTATGTTTTTTTATTGGAGTCTGTGTAGAGGAACTGCATGTGCACTAAGCCACCAGGGTAATTGCTCCTTGACTAGAAATACAACTATTTACATTCAGGACTTGTTATGGCTTTGGAGGTGAGTCCTGTAGTGTACTGAGGAAACAAAGAAATAAGAAAAGACCCAGCAACAAGCTACTAGAGGAAAAGTGAGGGTGGTACCACCTACCTGCTGGACTGACCACTCCACACCTCTGCCTCTGAGGGTGAGGAAGATGAGGGACAGTCCAGCTAACATCACTACCTGAGTGCCCTGCCTCTGGCTGCACATACAGCTAGGTTCTTCTTGAAGCAGTTCCTAAATGGCTACAGTTTTCATGCAAATGTTTAAGGAAAATTAGTTTTGGTTTGCATTTTGGGGGGCTGAGCTGCCGCAGGCTTGGATTTACTGGAGAAGAAACCCCACAACCAGTGTAGTGGAGTTGGGAGAGACAGCATTCTGCTCATAAATCAAAGTTAGTGTGTTTGCTTTTGTTTGGGTTTTTGTTTGGGGTGGTTTGGGGTTTTTTTCAGAGAAATGCATCCTAGAAATAAAATATAATTTTTCTATGTGATTTTAGCATAGCAGTTGTGGGTCACAAGTCTTCATTTGTTTTAAGGAAAGGACAAGAAGACTATATTCCAGAGATTGGAATTTTATCATCACCTCTCAAACCCCACCCTCACACAAATAATTGAAAAAGTCATCATTGTCAGATATCATCTCCATGGTAAAAATAGCTTGTTTTCCTTCCACAGAGACAACATCTGTTGAATGAAGCGAAACAAAGCAAGTGAAGTGATATCAGCCTTATAAATGACATCACCCAGTTATGCTGGTCCTGTACACAATATTTTTTTTATAGAAGTCATTTGCTTTTAAATTTTTTAATGCATTATGAAAGTCAGATTTTTCTGTTGGGGTCACAGCAGGTGTTTCAGAAAGTAGATGAACCAAAAGGGTATTTTTCTCTCCTTGAAGTGATCAAGTGGGGATCCACAGCGTGCTCCCACCCTTTAAACTCCATACGTGCCAAAGTTCTTGCTTCCACCTGCACTGAGGCTGGTGCCACAGGATTAAACCTTTTCAGTGACTTGCCTCCAGTAATTCAAACAACTGCAGCCAAAATCTGAGGACAGCTTTTCTGCTTTGTTTTGTTTCCCTTTGTACCTACCCCTGCAAGCAACAGTCAGGAAAAGAGGGATAGTGTTCAGCAGTCATGCAGAGAAAGCTGCTTTCCTCCCCCAGTAACGATGGGTTAATTCAAACCATTAATTTTTCTTAAGTTACAGAAGTGTGGTTGCAGGCATTTTATTATTAACACTGCTATCCCCCAAGGTCACAGATTAGACAATCTAACTATGTTTGTACTGTCTTTGCTCATCTTGTCTAAGCTTGGGCTCACGTGCTGCACAGAGCTCACAGCAATGGCAATCCACAGTGACTCCAGATGTGGGATCAGAGAAGTCTCTGTCTTCTCTGCCTTGCAAGCAAGCTTTCTACAGCCTTGGTCACCATCACCCAACCGATAGCCAAGTAGTCATGGTCAGGAGCAAATGCAAGCCCTGAGGTAAAAGGATATATGAGCAGACCACAAGAGACTAAAAAATTGTGGAAGATACTGGTGGTTTATCTGGGAAAGAGAGGATGAAGCCAGACGTTACCATTCAATGAAAAAGAGGTGAGAGAATTGCTCTTTAACTTTAGATAGAGTAACTAGTGTGCGTTGCCTCTCCAAATGTGAAGCTATGAGCAAGGTGTCATGAATATGTGCCTTTTCACATGAATATCTGTACTCCAGGTCTTTATGGGAAGCTGAAACACTTTCTAGAGACTTATTTTCTTTTAAAAATTAGGGGGTGGGGTGGTGGGGGTGGGGGTGTTGTACAACACACAATTATCTCAAATTTTTCCGTCCTAGAATAATTTTTAAAAAAAAATCTGCTGTGGATCCTTCCCTGCCAGCACATGAACAATTATCTGTCAGCTAAAGAGGTTTTCTCTGCTTGACAGCCAGAACAAAGCATCTTGAACCAAGTGTCTACTTACCTCTGGGGCAGGAGTTGGGGCTTGCTGTTGTATGAACTGTGATTGTGTTACAGAGCAGTGCGTATCTGAAAAGCCTTCATCTGACTGGTAGGGCATGTCTGACCCTTGGAGAAGACAGGGAAGGACTTTGCTTTTCACACTAGGATTCCCAGATAGTCAAGCCAGTGTACCCACAGCTATCAAACAGCAAAATTAAATTCCTTTAATAGACTTTTTTTTTTTTTTTTTTTAAATTTAGAAAAAGTTAAGCAATCCTTTTGGTTGAATAAACTATAAAGAAGGTTTCGAAGTTTGTGGAATTATAATAGAAAAATCTGAATACCTAACTAGTACCGTGAATTGTCCAATGTGAACATATGTTGATAACAATGAGAGTCCCAAGACCTTACATATTGAGTTAAAAGAGGAATCAGCCTGACTGCAGCATTTTGCATCATCAGTTCATAGGACAATTCTCTATTTGCAAATACATACCGTTTCCCTTTTATGCTCTCCTGGTCTTTTGTGCTCTCTCTTTTTCTCTTGGGCTCTAACCAGATTTCCCTTTTGCTGGGATTGTACTGCTTTTTATAAAATAAGGGAAGGTGAATATCCAAAATTAATGGTTTTCATAAACACGGACAGAGAGAGATTCATAGATTCATAGAATCATAGAACGGTTTGGGTGGAAGGGACCTTAAAGATCATCTAGTTCC